AATCTTCATTACAGCTAAGTCCTTCTAACTTCATTTGATGTAAAAGATACCGAACACCATCCAATTCAGACTCCTTGGCAAGCTTCTTGATCATGAATTGGTATGTTTCTGGGGTGTGTTTAAAGGCATTTGAATTGGTGATGTGTTTGAAATAATGCAGGGCTGTTGCAATGTTGGGTTCATGTTTCAATCTACGGATCACTTGGGATTCTTCAAGAAGGATCTGGCTTTGCTCCATCTGGGATTCGGCATTGGGGTTCAGAAGCGGATTTGTGTTCAAAACAAAAGGGATTGAAGGTTTGTGGATTTTTAACATCAAAGAACATCCCTTTTTCAAGTACATGGTAAAGATGATAGCTTTATTTCAAAATCGTCAATTCGACACAGAACCCAGAAGCCTAAGGAGCTATAGAATTTAAAGCCAAAGCAAGCTTACCTAAGATTGGATTCTTTTGCGCGCAACTGCAGGGTGCAGAATACCCGGCTGGTGAGATGAAGAGAAAGGCGATTGACATGAGAGCCAGAGGAGGAATGAAGTATGAAATAATCTAAACGGCACCGTTTAGCTTGACCAAGCTTGATTAACTTAATAAAATCATTGGTGTTAAAATACATATTACTTTTATAATTTTTTGTTTAAATTAATGATCAAAATATATATTTATTACATTACTAACCTTTATTATTTAAAGCACAAGTTACAGAAATCTAAAAATAATTAAAGCAAATCACATCTCAAATTAGGGTTTTTGGGACAAAAAGAATCTGGACAAGTTCAAATTTCATGGATTCATGAATTTAAACCTCCTAATCGTCCAATCTGATGGATTCTTTCACCAAATGAAACCCTATCCAAACAATTCCTTCAACGGTTCAACCTAATCTTCTCAATTAATAGCTCAGGAAATTAACAACAAAGGAACAAACTTCAAGCATTCCAAATTTTCATTATCACACAATTACACAAAAGTTTTTCTTCTTGAAGAGGATGCTTAAACAGGACCCTACCGAGATTATAACTAGCTCGAACGGTCAAAAGATTCCATCAATGCTACAGCAGATAGTCAGGAAAAGTCATCAACCGAGGATTGTTCCCATCTCAAGAATAATAACAAAGCCAACCCACCCCAACAATTGTTTAATGTTACTTCGTTCAGTTGTAAATAATTTATTTTTATTTCAATAAATTTTATTTAAAAATTTCTCAAATGGACAAAGAAATTAACTTAAGCTAAGTAATTAAAGCATTACAAATAATAAATAAATTAGTTTTTATAATTGTACCACATATAAGTAGAAATGACATCTCTCGATATTTTCCTTCTTTATTTTATGTTTGGTTAAGCAACATAAAAGAAATAAAAAGTTTTAAATAATTTTAAAATTACATATTTTTCTTTTAATAATTTAAACAATAAAAAATAAATTAAGATAGGCTTTTAAGTGGAAGATATGAAGAAATTAACTTCATTAATAATTTTGGTTAAAAAAAAAGGATAACTTTTTGTTGCAATTTAATTAAGTTTTGGATTTAATTCAAGACATATTCACCATGTTATTATTGGGAGAAAATCGTTATGCAAACGAATTTGGAGGCTAAAGGTTAAAAAGGAAAAAAAAAAAAAACAAAGGAAGAGAAGAAGTGTTTGAAGAAAAAAATTTAAAAAAAAATGAAGCAAATAATAAAAATATAAATTAGAGAAATGAAAAGCAAACAATTTTATTGCAATGTAGTTTTATTTATACGAAGACAAGATGATAGAATACTTGATCATAACCAAATTGTAAAAGATTATTCAGGCAGAAAATAAAATATTCAAAGTAGAATAGTCTAACTAAAACAATAAAAGTGATTATTGTCTTCAAGACTAGTTAGATCAAGAAGTGCAAAAAACAATCATTGTAACAATAGCCATGTATTTCCAAGGTGGGCATTCAAGTAGTGCTCTTGGTTTATCTAGATGCTCAAGTAGATATAAATAAGTAATAGTAACTTCATATAACTCTAATGCCAAATCCTTTAACATATTTCAAACTTCTGACTTTGAAAGTGGAGGGTGTGAATTCCCCTTTAGACAGTGCTTCTGCTACATTATTAATAATTTCCTTAATATTTGCTGCTTCGTTTTTAATTTCTTACGACTTATTTATTTATTTATTTTTGTTTTTGAATTACTAGCCACATTTGAAGGACTCCAAAGATATGTTAGAGGATCCATATCAACATCATAAGTCCCAAAACCTTCTAGTGATGCTTGACTTTGTGGCACCATATGGTTAATTTCCTCAATAATATTTTGAGACTCATTGTCATGTTTGGAGGATTGTTTTTTCTTTAGTTCTTTTGCAGTCTCTGATTTTTCACCTATAGCTTAATCATTCCCATATAGCATCACAAATGTGTCATAGTGCAAAATTGGATTTGTCATCCATTCTCCAGCATTGTTATTAACTTACAAAATATCAACATGATAATAATAAAAATCATTAATTTAAGATCAAATAAAATGTTAACAAGAAAATTTTAATTAGAAGCATACCTTTATTAATGCATTTCAAACTTCTGGCTCAGCACTCCATAACTTGGGAATAGGGCTTCATGAAAAACCACGAAGATTTTTGAATAAGTTGTGACATTTTAAAAGGTTTCCCTTCAAAGTCTTCACATGGTTTTTCATCTTATTTTTGTCAACATCCTTCCCAAGTTTTTCTTTTAATTCATTCACACTGTTTTCATATGCTTTAGTGGTGAGGAAAATAACATTAAACAATTAAAGAACAACGAAATTAACTCAAGCCAAATAATTAAAACATTACAAACAGAAAAGAAATTAGTTTTTGTAATTGTGCCACATATTAGTAGCAATGGCATCTTTCTACATTTTCCCTTGGCAACATCTTCATTTTCAATTGTTATTACAACTCTCAACACATGATGAAAATGTTGGCTAGCAGTTTCTCTAGAACGTTGAAACCAAAATTTGACTGAATGGTTTTTGGCATTCTTTGCTAAAACATAAAGAGTTTTAACTGCTTTCTCCTCAATATTTGCTTTTCTTGTGAGTTGAAGACCTCTCTCCCTTTCAAGTATGTCACATAATTGTAGAAAAGCTTAATTTAAGACCTATTCTTATGACATAATGGCTTCTCTCACTCTCCATAATTTTGTTCATTATCTCATCTCAAACTCATTCTCTCTTATTAATTATATTATCATCAAGAATCTTTCTTTTTGATTGATTTCGAAGAAACCACCAATAAACAACTAAGCATATTACATGAGCAATGGTCCTCCTATGCATTTCTCTCATGGCATCCATCTATATTTATAAAATACAATGTTATTTTTTACCATGCTTCTTATATTTTTTTTCACATAATACTTTGTCTAAAAGAAAATGATTCGTACACACACTGATTCAATACACAATATAACACATTTAATAAAAAAAATCATTGTATTTTGATATGAAATTAAAAATA